CGTACATGGCGGAGGGCGGGGATCAGTTCGCCTTGTTACGCGACGAGCTCCTGGCCCTTCGCTCCATGAACATGCACTGGACGTGGACATCATGCTGGAATACCTCCGAATCTTCTCGATGGTGTACCCGCGCGAGGAGGGCAGGATCACCGTGATCAACGAGTCCTCTCTCGCTCTGTCCGGCTCATCCAGGGCCTTGACAACGTTGACGCTGAAGATCGTGAGCGCGGTGCTTTGTGTCGTTGAGACGCTCTGTGTATGTCGGAAGGCATATACGTGGCAGTGGGACACACTGCAGATGCTGTGCGCTGTGTGAAGAGATGCTGGGACCACTTGAAACAGTGCAGGGTGTTTGAACGCGGCTGGGAGCGCTGCATTCAGGTGTAATGAGTGAAAGATAGCGTGAAGAAAGCGCTGACACAGACGCCGCCGAAATCCTAGGCTGAAGGCTGGCCGCCATTAGCAACGTGAACTCAGCATTCAGTGACATATTTTATTCGTTGTCGTAGTTGTAGTTATTACTGCATTACTATCACCAGCAAAGTGGCTATAACGTTCCAAAACTATGGAATTATGGATCAATAAATGTGTAATGTTTTTTCAACGGCTCCAGCTGTATTCGATTAAGTGCTCAGCTGAAACTGTAGTTCCTGATGCTATAAAACGCTCCCCCCCCCCCCCCCAATAGCCATCCCTATTATTGTAACTGTGAACTAAAATACGTCCATTGTGCCTCTCCGCTCTAATGGCATGGAAATGTGGATGGACGGTGAGAGATCAGCCTGTCCAATCGTATATACCTGCCTTTGTACTGCCTTTGATATATAATAAGTTGTATGCGATATATTACATTTTTCACATCTACGTCGTCTTTAATGCCAATATACGGACAAAATGTTAAACAGGTCGAGATCATATGGTAGCAGTGATGCACGTCATAATTATATAATTTGCCCTTGACAGGCATGACCTGCGGCCGGTGGCAGCGATCGCGCAAAAGGTCAGGTGACGTCGGAGAGCAAGACAAACCGTGCCGAGCATTGCAGCGCGTCAAACTCTCACCACCGAATTCTGCCGTGAACTCGAGACTTGACGATCGGGTGTAGAGGTCAGAGTTCACGTAACAGGCTCAACTTAGAGTGACCTCTGATCCCAGGCATCCATCCATTCAAAGGATCCGTATTCGGTCCGACAAAGAAAATCATTGCCTGGAGATTAGGCGTTTAGATTTCACAACATTTCGTGGATTCGGAATTAGCGCGTTTAACAACGATTTGGTTGCCTGTTTGGGCATATGGTGCCCAAGCTTCAAGCGACATGTTAGAAAAACTTGTTTGCCGCATATTTTTGAACATAAAGTGCCTTTATCTTCATCGTCAACCCCATCTAATCAGCCATTACTTCGGCGGTAGCTTGCGTTTCGGAGAGAGAGAGAGAGAGAGAGAGAGAGAGGAGAGAGAGAGAGAGAGAGAGAGAGAGAGAGAGAGAGAGAGAGAGAGAGAGAGAGAGAGAGAGAGAGAGAGAGCGAGAGAGGAAGGGAGGAGAGAGAGGAGAGAGAGAGAGAGAGAGAGAGAGAGAGGAGAGAGAGAGAGAGAGGAGGGAGAGAGGAGAGAGAGAGAGAGAGGAGAGAGAGAAGAGCGAGAGAGAGAGAGAGAGAGAGAAGGAGAGAGATGAGAGCGAGAGGAGAGAGAGAGAGAGAGAGAGAGAGAGAGAGAAGCGAGAGAGAGAGAGAGAGCGAGGGAGGAGAGAGAGAGAGGAGAGGAGAGAGAGAGAGAGAGAGAGAGAGAGAGAGAGAGAGAGAGAGAGAGATGAGAGAGAGAGGAGAGAGAGAGAGAGGAGAGAGAGAGAGAGAGAGGAGAGAGAGAGAGAGAGAGAGAGAGAGAGGAGAGAGAGAGAGAGAGAGAGGAGATATATATATTATATAATATATATATATATATATATATATATATATATATATATATATACCGTACGTACCGTGGCACGTACAATGCATGCCAATCAGTGTTGAAAAAAATGCTTGCTTATCTTCAAACTGCGTTTGCTTTACAAAGAAGTTCAGCTTTAAAGAGGACACCGGTCTCCAAAGGAAAGTGAGAAGTATATTTACACCGCAACCAAACAGCGTGTGCCGCCCTGCCTTTTAGGTACGAACCAACAAAATTCATGACGGTACAGAAATTCGAGATTTGTCGCAGAGGGGGACGATTTTTTTCGCGGCTTTGCCCTACGTAGCAGCAGCCGCAGATACTAATGAATAATTACAGTTAGGTGTGATAGCTTTACGGACGAGTGGCGCGGTACATTTTATTTCGGTCGCCTCGGTGGCTGTGGTGCCCGTATTTCTTACGCATGACTGGAGTTACATTCGTAATACGCTGGCATAACAAGTGGCATAACGTCAGGGACGGTAAGTAAGAGGACATCTTTAACGAGCCGGCCACCTTTGACAGGGGAATACAGACGAGAAAAAACATAATCCTTGCATCTTAATAAATCCAACTTTAAGTCATGCCATCAGCGTCCATGAAGATGTTGGGAGTTACCTTCGACCACATGCTATCCAGGAAGAATCACATCTAGATTAGTAAAAAAAAGCGCAATGCCGTCCTGTTCTTTATTCTATACATCAGATGCGTCATCATCTCATAGCCGCAGCCCACTTATCCGAGCCCATGTTTTCCTCCCATTTCGTACTATCTCTCAGTTGGGGCGTAGCCTCTGCCTGCTATCTCAGCCGGGTGTAAATGGTGAATTTCGCGGCCTGGGCCATCCTGTGGGTGCGGGTCTGGGATAACATTTCGTTGATCGTGTTGTCGCTGGGTTGGCCTTGGCGCCTTCAGGGTCTGAAATGACCCCTGCGTCCCCATGGCGGTCCGGTCTCTGCCCATCCCTCTCACCGCTGTCGGCGCGTCAGGCGGTCGGTGGAGGTCGCCGCTTTGGGATTCCCCGCTTTCCAGCTTAGACCGCCTGACAGGCTGCGTGGAAGACTGTAAGATTAGCGCGCAGGCGTTGTCGTACTGTAGGCCTTGTCCTGGAACCACCTGCTATCGGCTGGTGTGGCTTACCGGAGCCGTGCTGTGCTCATGGCTAGACTTAACCTATATGACACAGAGGATAGTGCTCGCGTTTATGTGCTCTTTTTACGTCATTCGTATTTTTTATCATAGCCGCATATTTAATCGTGCTGCATGATGCCCATTGACTTCAGCCAAACACTAAGCTATAGAAAACGAACGATTCGTAGTGAATACGTGAAAATGATAGCCATGATGGGAGGCGACGGCCTCACTCAAGAGTTCTGCTCGGGGGGGGGGGGGGGGAGGGAAGCGGTGCTCAGCCCCTAAAGTAGATAGTAACGTCCTTGGACACGGGACGATGTCGCAGAAAATTGGTTTCAATTCGCAGGGTTCGAAGTAAATTCAATATTTTGGCCCATAGAACAGATTTTTACCAGGTGCCTGAGGAATTGAGCCAACAATTTTGCGGGCATTACGTGGTTTCGTATTGAAGCTATTTCATGTTCGCTTTTCGCCGGAAAATCAACAACTGACCCACACCAGAGCGGCATTGCTTTTTCACATATACTACATAAGGCGGGGGTAAAATAGTGAGAATTTTCAATTTGGTCAAAAGGACCAGAAGTTCCCGTTGGAGTGTCTAATTTAGAACGGAATAGCTAGTTTAGTACAAACCTAATTTTTAGCAACTGGGACGCTTAACGACCTTAGACGTATATGGCGAGGGTGATCCGTGTAATGGCGTACGAGAAACACGTTGATGCGACCTGTGCACGTGTCACCGAGAAGTGGGGCTGTTGCGAAGCGTCTGAGACAGGGCCACTGAACAGAGTTTGGGCTGAGGTTGGTCACAAGGTAGTAGAAACACTTACAGTCCTCTGTTAGTAGTAGGCGAATACGAGCTTAGCATATAGAAAATAACTTTATGGGCGTTTTATGAGTGAAGGGGAGCTAGCGTGTGGGAAACGTGAGGGAAATGGAATGCTATTTCATGTATTGTAATCTGGTGGCCCTTTAGGCCTCTGATTCGTGACAGGGGTTTTCAAGCCAGTTTGAAATAATTTGATCCATTGTGTTGAACACCTATGTGACAGTGTGCTAAATCTCACAGTCATATGAGCTGAACTAGAGCCAGGCAAATTGTGCTGTATTTTCCAATAATTTTGGGTGAAGTATGATTCAGTGTTGGAAATTCCAGAAAATTTCCTAGTAGTGGAGTACAAATTTTCTATAGTGCAGGTGCTGCAGGTCATCACAGTTTCATTTAGGTTATCTTTGGGAGATAACACTATAATGGGTGATACTCCACAGAAGTACATTTTTTATATGCTGCAATCCATGTAAAAGCACTTTAAATGAAAGGAAACATCAGTATTCAGCATGGCACACTGAAACAACAGTCTCAGACTGTACTCTGAAATGCATGTGCATATACATTGGTCTGCAATTTATGAAAGGCTCTGTGTGAACACCCTCCAAAACAGGGTGGTGTAGGTGTACATCAGTGCCTACTGTTAGAAAAAAATGATGGTACATCAATTGTAATGTTAAAGGTGGAACATACCACAAATAATCACAAAACAGGTAGATTCATGCTCCTACCTTCAAATTTTAATAACTATGATAACGAGCTCCTGAGTGCCACAGACACCTCACTGCCTTGACTCCCCAGCACCTTTCCTGTGTTATCATTGCATAGTTACAATATTTCTGCCTACCAAGAACCATACAAAATTATGGGGCCAAGGTAATAATAGTAATGCAATGACAAATGTTTCTTATCATGTGTGGGTACATTTATGAAACAGACAGGCCAGAATAGTCCAGGACATAGCCTAAACTAGCCTAGCCTAACCTAACCTAAGCTAACCTAACCTAACCTAACCTAACCTAACTTAACCTAACCTAACCTAATCTAACCTCCCCACCCTATCCCCTTCAACCCAGTGTCCCACTGGCCTCCATGTTCCATGCCATATATATGTACCATATTAATAAGTTTTGCTTAGCCACCATAATCTCATTTTGCTTTTCATTCCCACCCAAAAATGTAATATTTGCCCACCATGTCAACCAATCTACAAACAATATGGAAGACTGCTTGGATACACAAGAAACATATTTCATTGGATTCTTTTTACCTTGGCCCCACATATTTTTATGGTTTTTGATGCACGGTAATGTTGTGATCGCGTGTAGCAATGGCGCTGGAGTCGCGGTTGCTGTGTGTTTGCGGCACTCGGATGTTCAATATTGTAGTTATTTAAGTTGCAAGGTAAGAGTTTAGATGACCTGTTTTACAATTAATTACAATTTGTTCTGCCTTAAAAATGATGATTGATTACAATGCTCTTTTTTAACATGAGGTAGCAATGTATATCCTGACCCAGAGGGTAATTATGCATCAGGCTTATACACTCTCCAAAATGGCAGGTGGCTACACACCAGGCTTATACACGCTCCAAAATGGAGGATGGGTAGGATACGCACAGCCAGAGAAAAATGGTACACAAAGAATGCAAATGAACATGCCCATACAGCCACCTACTTATGCTCCACCACAATCATGCTACTCATACTCCACCACAGTCACGCTGCTCGCGCCCCACCAGTTAACTGGTTTTAAAAACAGCTAAACATCCATGCACTCCACCTTCCAACTCCTCGTCAACATACGAGGCCGTGCACATCCCACCCAAACAATAGAGACAGGCCGCAATCTGAACCGATTTACCGAGCCAGCGCAAGTACAATGCCTGACAGGCCCCTGCAGGCCGGCCAAAAAGGATCTGAGTCGGCCACTCCGCTGACTCCGGCAGAAAATGCGATGTATTAATGGATTTTGATGTGCTTTAACCGATGTCATTAGAGGTATGGTAATTTATGCTGCAATTAACTGATGTTTTTGTACTAATGAACCCGTCTTAATTTTCCGGGCCAAAGCTATGGTTTCAGGTAACTCTGGTGTCCTGGTATTTTTGCGAGTGAGATGACTGTCTCCAAACAGTACGTTGGCTATTTATAGCAATGTTTTTTTACTTAAAAGTGTATTGTTGTAAAGCTTGAATTACCAGCTTTAATTTCACACCCTTATGTAACAAATTTAGCTTGGTTTAAATCCACAGCTACTGTAGCATTTTTGTACTCCAGATACCAGGAAATGGCCAAAAATCCAACCACATGGCAGTTCTGGATTGTTCATGAGGTAATGTTTTTTCCTTGATATTACTGAATATCAAAAACATCATTCATCCAGGACCAGAATTTGAATGCAGTTGTTATGAAAACACATTGCATATTATCAGACTGCAGTATTTTATGTATGGATGTGTTTTCAAGTTTTATCCATCCAAGCATAGCTTTTCAGAAGCCCAAGTCAATGCAGTGTCTGACCAGACATGATAGAAATAACATTGAATATTGATGAACCACATGGTGAATAGTGCTGAACAGTATAAGTAAGATACATATAACTAAACATCTAGATGAGATACAAATGGAGACTCGTACCCTAAATATGCACAGAACACAAACACTGCACTGCACATATATGTACTTTTACAAAGACCCATATACCACTCACGTGCATAAGAGACACACCCTTCAAGGACAATTATCCTGTGCGGGCTGGTATTTCCAAGCCTTGCCCACCCAGCATGTGTTTTCTAATCACAGTTTGATGTACAAGAGGACTAGCTTCTTGAATCCTGCCAGCCTGGCACATCACATTGTGGCATTGGGTGCCTCATACCATGTCACTGAAAGTTGTGTTTATTGGGTGCAAATAATTGCCAGAATTGTGTGCCAGAATCGCAGTGTATTTCCTGAACTGCCTTAGACATGCATCCAAGATTTATCTTTTTTTGAAATAAACAGATGTGGATGATGGTCTAGCACAAGGGCTCATCAGGTATGACCTCCTGCCCTGACCCTGCTACTTGCACCACACCTCAGGCATCGCCACTCATCACCATGGGCAAGGCGAAGAAGGTGCGTGTGTCACGAGCCACGGAGGTGGACAGCACGCCGACGCTGCACGAACAGATCGAGGGCGACCGGTTCGCCCGGCCCTCTGCCCGGCATAAGGCGCGCGCCCGGCAAGAGGAGCAAGAGGTGAGGCTGGCCCTGGTCCGAACAGGAGGTGAGGCTGGCCCTGGTCCAAACAGGAGGTGAGGATGGCCCTGGTCCGAACAGGAGGTGAGGCTGGCCCTGGTCCGAACAGGAGGTGAGGATGGCCCTGGTCCGAACAGGAGGTGAGGATGGCTCTGGTCCGAACAGGAGGTGAGGATGGCCCTGGTCCGAGCAGGAGGTGAGGATGGCTCTGGTCCGAACAGGAGGTGAGGCTGGCTCTGGTCCGAACAGTCCACCACCGGACTCCCTCTCGGCACTGCAGGAGAAAGATGTGAATGAGCAGTGTCCCCCCCCCCCCCCCCCCCCGCTCTGGGGCCGCCCTTCCTGGTAACTAAGCTTTGTGACTCGACTTTGTGACAAGCAGAGGATGTGGAACAGTGGGACATGGCAGGAGGAGGAGGGTGGCAGTGCCCCACTTTTACAGCATTTCGGCTGCAGTTGGTGTCATGGCCTGTCTGAGCAGTGTTCACATGAAGCAGCTACCACTTGCTGGTGCTTTGTGGGGTACGCAATTGACTCCGGATCGTTTGACGGTTCGTGGAGAGCACGATCTGAGCAGCTGCTGCTGTCCCACCCATATAAGTCTGAGCATGCCGCTACTGACAGTCCGCCTCCTCGGTGTCAGTTCGTCGACAGCAAGCTCTCGCGGCGTATCCTGTCGGAGGCCCGCCGGCAGCAGCAGGAGTTGGAGGACGAGCACGGAATCTCCGAGTCACAGCTGGTGGCCACTGCGACAAAACCTGGGGTTGCCGGCGGCGCGCGGGCCCGCACCGCCGCCCTCGGCGACGCGGGCTCCTCAGAGGACGAGGAGGAAGATGCTGGACCACTAGAGGACATCTGCGAGGAAGTGGTATGACAGGGTGGTCCATTGGCCAGATAGTGTAGGGTGCTTGGAAGCATGGGGGCACAGAATGACCATTGCTGCCATGGCGTTTTAAGCAGCAGCTGCAACATCGTCATCTTGAGTAGTCATCGTTGTTGCTTTGTTTTGGGAGATCACCAAAAGTACCTCAGTGGCGATCCCTGCTGCATGTTAGGTCTACTTTAACGTGTAATTATTGATCAATACCTGAGCTAAGGAGATCGCCAACATTGCTATCCACCCCCATAGCTCATTTGGTTAAATCGCAAATCGCATTAAATCAAAATGTGTTTCTTTACCGTGCGTTGGCGACGGTCACCCACTCGAGGCGCCTGGCGTCCAGTCAGTGAGCATGAGTCGTGCGGCTCCGCGACGCGGATGTATTGTGGAGTGTTCGGGTCTTCCGACGGCCGCTCACACGGAGTCCCACAAATGACGGCCCACGGCAACGCCTGCCCTACGGTCTGCCGTACCGGCTGGCGGCCGGAGCCAGCGGCGCGAGCGACGCGTCACGTCCCCGCATCACGGCGTGTCACGGCCGGGGCGCACCGGCCGCGTGTCACGTCTCCAGCTCTGGGTGAGCCGCCCGGTCTCTGACCGGGAGGGTGCGGGTTCGAGACGCGCTGCCAGCCGCCGCCCCGCGGACGTCGTGCAGCGTCGGACCGCTGACGGTGTTTGCGCCGCCGGCCGCCAGGTAGTGGACGAAGCGGACGAGCGCGCCATGCTGGCGTTCATGGCGCGGGAGCCGAAGCCGCGCCGCGTGCTGGCCGACCTGATCATGGAGAAGGTCCGCGAGAAGGAAGCCGAGCTGCAGACCGGCGCCTCCGAGACGCAGAGTGAGTACCGCTGGCGTGGGGGCAGGGACAGAGTGAATACCGCTGGCGTGGGGGCAGGGACAGAGTGAGAACCGTTAGCGCGGGGCAGGGGCGGGGACAGGGTCAGTACCGCTGACGCGGGGCAGGAGCAGGGTGAGCAGTGCTGGGTTGGGGCAGGGACAGAGTGAGTACTGCTGGCGCGGGGCAGGGAGAGAGTGAGTACCGCTGGCATGGGACGGACAGAGTGAGTACCGCCGGCATGGGGCGGGGAGAGAGTGAATACCGCTGGCATGGGGCAGGGAGAGAGCACCGCTGGCATGGGGCAGGGGCAGAGTGAGTACCGCCGGCTCGGGGCGCTGACAGAGTGAGTAGCGCTGACATGGGCAGGGATAGAGTGAGTACCGCCGACGTAGGGCAGGGACAGAGTGGGTAGCGCTGACGCGGAACAGGGACAGAGTGAGTACCATTGGCGTGGGGCAGGGACAGAGTGAATGTCGGTACGAAGAAGGGACGGGGACCAGCGCGTGCAGTTGGAGAGGGACGCGAGGCAGCTCTGCTTTTTGGCAGTTCTGCACCCTGGCTTACACTGGCGTCGTCATCGGCCGCCACCCAGCGTTGTCCGCTCTGCCGCAGGTGTGGTGGTGACGCAGGAGCTGCACCCGAAGGTCAAGGAGATGTACGAGGGCATCCGGTTCGTGCTGGCCAAGTATCGGAGCGGCAAGATCCCCAAGGCCTTCAAGGTGATCCCGCACATGCAGAACTGGGAGCAGATCCTGCACTTGACGCGTGAGTGTGGCTGGAGGCCGGGGCCGCCGTCAGTGGAGAGGGGGGGGGGGGGGGGGGGGGAAGGGAAGGGGGGAGCACACGGGCAGCGGGGAGGCCTCCGTCAGCACGCAGCTTCTTGGTAGGGGCACCCCCGTTAGTGGGATGAGGGAGAGGGGGGGGGGGGGGGGCGGGCACCGGCGGCGAGAGACCTACGTCAGCATAGGAACTTGTTGGTAGGGGACCTCCGTCGGCGGTGGGGGGGGGGGGGGGAGGGGGGCACCGAGTATTAGTTCTATGCAGCATTGGCGTGCTCAAGGCCCGTGTGCTTGCAATATAGTGACCTCTGGTGATTTTTCTGTACGTTACTTCGGGCTGGTAGCCAGAGCGCACAAGGAGGCTGATTAATTGCTGATTGATGGTGAATGACGTGATGCCACTAAATGGCACTATCTTCCTTTCGGGCAAGCTGGCTCTTGTTCACAGTCTGTAGCGTCATCACAGAGTTGGACATTGCTGGTGGTCTTATTTGACAAACTTAACCTATTTCTCACTCTGATCATCTGAAATCCTCAGGTTACGTGCAAAACATTGCGATCACGAGTTATAGCCTTTGTAGCGCATCCCATTAGCGGCGTTGTCTCAGCCCCCAACGCAACACCTCATGGAGCTGTGGGTGTAAGCTGTCTGGCTGTAATTGTCCCAGACCCCCAGCGGGGTAGGGGAGGCAGGGCACATTCACATTCTGGTTATCTCTACCTTCCACCGAATTGAAAGTGGAGTTAACCAATGAAACACGCCGCAATTAACCACCAGCGTTTGCTCGTCGCGACAGAGAAACGTCATTGTTACAGCTAGAATATGATGTTGATTAACTGGGTCGTCAGCACCCCATCGCCGCCCTCTCTCTCGCTCGCTCTCTCACTCTCTCTTCCCCGGGTGTTTTGCCGTCGCCTGCGCCAGGAGGTCGCCGTGATAAGCCAACGCGGGGGGGGGGGGGGAGGGAGGGGCTGCCCGTTTCGTCCCCCACCGTCAACGATAACATCGGTCGACTGACCTCCTGACTGGGCCGGTGGCGGTGAGACCTGAGCGGAAGTGGTCGGGGCACAGGCGCCAGCCCGCTGAATCGTGTACGTTCTGTGTCGTGCTGGTCGGCTCCAGAGGAGATGTCCAGTTGCCGACTATTGCGTGTGGTCGGTGGTGGTCATGAGCCGGCGGTTGCTGCGCGAATGCAATATCCCCGTAGGCTTCGGCTCGTGGGCCGCTCTCGGGACGTCATCCACACACGACCAGTCACAGTTGCGGCAGGTGTGGGCGTGCCGTCCGAACTCAAGCGTGGCGGGACACTACGCCACGCTCGTCATGCTGCGCGGCCGCGGCGCAGCACCGCCGCGCGGCCGTGTGACCCCGCGTGACCCCGTGTGACCCCGCCGCAGGGCCGGACACGTGGTCGGCGGCCGCCATGTACCAGGCCACGCGCACCTTCGCCTCCAACCTCAAGGACAAGATGGCGCAGCGCTTCTTCAACCTGGTGCTGTTGCCGCGCGTCCGGGACGACATCCACTTCTACAAGAAGCTGAACCCGCACCTCTACCTGGCGCTGCGCAAGGCGCTCTTCAAGCCGGGGGCCTTCATGAAGGGCATCCTGCTGCCACTGTGCGAGGTGAGTAGAGTGTTGGCGGCATCTCGGAAAGACAGCGGAGCAACAGGGGTTCTGCTCAGCAGTCAGTAACAGGGCGCTTCGCTCATTAGCTGCGGGCCAGACGGCCACATGGTGTGGCCACGCCTGATGCATGCCTGCGTTGTGGTGGGCGGTTGTGATTTGGCTGTTCAGCTGCTGCTCTGCAGGTGGTGCTACACATTCCGCACGTCCCGACCCGCAGCACGAGTGTTCCGATACTTTCCGTGGAGCAGCACGGTCACGTCGTCGTACGGTGATGCGAGCCAAGAACAAGACAAGGTGTAGTGCCTGGGCGATGATGGCAAGATAATGGCAAGCTGATCATCGCCCAAGCATGATCATCATCTGGCAAGCACCTGCCCTCTACTCTGTCCTGCTGTCCACTCTGGCAGTACTGTGGCCGATGCTCAGGCCGCTGCGCAGTCGTGTTCCGTTCTCCGTTCCATTGCCCCGTCCTCCGAGCGGGAGGGTCGCTCCCTCTTCGTCGCCGCGCCGCTTTCATTCGGTCTGATAAGATTGCCTTCGGAGGCGTGCTGGCCTGGTATGACGCACCCATCGCAGCCCATGATCTGTTGAATGCTCCCGTCATATCTGCCGGCTAGGACCGCCCTGTCTGATGTGTCCGCGCTGTCTGATGTATCCGCCCTGTCTGACGTGTCCGCTCTGTCTGCAGTCGGGTGACTGCCTTCTCCGCGAAGCCATCATCCTCGGCTCGGTGCTCTCCAAGAACTCGGTGCCGGTGCTTCACTCGGCCGCCGCCATGCTGAGGATCGCCGAGATGCCGTACACGGGCGCCAGCAGCATGTTCCTGCGCGTGCTGCTCGACAAGAAGTACTCGCTGCCGTACCGTGTCATCGACGCCGTACATGCCCACTTCATGAGGTGGGAAGCTGCCCCTGGGCTCTGGGCTCTGGGCTCTGGGCTCTGGGCTCTGGGCTCTGGGCTCTGGGCTCTGGGGTCTGGGGTCTGGGTTCCAGGCTCTGGGCTCTGGGCTGTGGGCTCTGGGCTCTGGGCTCTGGGCTCTGGGCTCTGGGCTCTGGGCTCTGGACTCTGGGCTCAGGGCTCTGGGCTCAGGGCTCTGGGCTCTGGGCTCTGGGTTCCAGGTTCTGGGCTCTGGGCTCTGGGCTCTGGGCTCTGGGCTCTGGGCTCTGGGCTCTGGGAAGGAAGGGGAGGAGCGTGTGGTGTCGGTGTCGGCGAACAGTGCACCAGTGGTGGACGCTGTGTGGTCACTGTGCCAGCGCGCCCCAGAGCCGCCCAGTCCTCGCCATCGGCGGTGTCATGCCGCACGCGGGTGGGAGCGGATCTGTGTTGTCTGCCTGGTGTTGACGGGTCCGGCGGCAGCGGGGCTGTGTTATCCCCTGATTACGGGTCCGGCGGCAGCGGGGCAGTTTTGTCACCTGGTGACGGGTCCAGCGCCAGCGGGGCTGTGTTGTCCCTGGTGGTGACGGGTCCGGCGGCAGCGGGGCTGTGTTGTCCCTGGTGGTGACGGGTCCGGCGGCAGCGGTGGGGCAGTGAGCTGCCGGTGTGGGCCATGGAGACGGCGGCGGTCCTCGTCTACTCGCCGTGACTGCCGCGTGTCGTCGCCCGAGCCGCTGCTGTCTAACCCAGCCGCCGTCTAACCCGGCCGCCGTCTAGCCCAGCCGCCGTCTAAACCGGCCGCCGTCTAACCCATCCACCGTCTAACCCGGCCGCCGTCTAACCCGGCCGCCGTCTAACCCAGCCACCGTCTGACCCAGCCACCGTCTAACCCGGCCGCCGTCTAACCCAGCCGCCGTCTAACCTGGCCACTGTCTAACCCAGCCGCCGTCTAACCTAGCCGCCATCTGACCCGACCGCCGTCTAACCCAACCGCCGTCTAACCCGGCCGCCGTCTGACCCGGCCGCCGTCTAGCCCAGCCGCCGTCTAAACCGGCCGCCGTCTAACCCATCCACCGTCTAACCCGGCCGCCGTCTAAACCGGCCGCCGTTGACGGCAGGTTCCACCTGGACGAGCGCCAGTTCCCGGTGCTGTGGCATCAGGCGCTGCTGACGTTCGTGCAGCGCTACAAGAACGACATGTCAGAGGAACAGCGCGACCTGTTGCTCGACCTCTGCAACAGCCAGCGGCACTCCGTCATCACACCCGAAGTCAGGTACGTCTGGCGGCCCGCAACCGGCCTCAGCGGCCAGAGACCGGGTGTCGGGCACGGGGTAGTGCCGGCGTGTTCGCTCCCCATGCTTGTGTAAGGTGTGTATGAGCTGGGCACTTCTCTGTTCGTGCGTTGTCATTTTCCGAACGTCGCGTTACGTGTTCGTCTGCCGGCGCAGGCGACGTTTGCGGGATGGACCTGGCGTTCATCGTGAAATGGCTCATTTGTTCAAGGACTGCTAGCCGTGCAAATGGTCATCACCAATAGTGGGCATGAACTTTTAGGTTTACTGGTTAAACTGGCAAGCGTTTTCCTGTTGGTAGTGCGGTATGGTCAACCAATTGAGGTTGTATGCATTTTGTGCATACTGTTCGTCTTGTGAAGGGCGTTCTGCGCCGTTCATGCTGTTGGCATAGAATAACGACGTACGTAACGGTACTTGAACCAGATTACGGCATGTTACCAGGTTGTGCTAGCTTAAACTAGTTATCATGCCCTTATTTGTTTCACGTCCACCTGCACGAAAGATGGTTGGAGATGTGTTGCCTCCATTCCGGTGTGCTAATACCGACACCTCGGCATAGCTAGATCACTGTCGTGCCGCACTGTCGCGAGGCGTTACCAATGGACACGCTTCGGACGGTGCGCTGGTCTGTTTCAGGAGGGAGCTTCTGGCGGCCAAAGGACGGGAAAGCAGTACCAACGAGCCAGAAAGTATGGAGGCGTCGTGAAACAACGTGCTGTGACAAGCGTGTGCTTACATGACCTGATGCAACCTGTGTTAATACAAATGTCGAGAAGCGTGTTGTACTCTCTGCCTTTGTGTTCCACGACGAATGTTCGAAGCACGTGCACTGTGATTCTAGTTGAGGGTCATTTCGGTGTCACGAGCCCCCCCCCCCCCTCCCCCCTCCTCCAGTGGGATCTGAAAATTGTCCAGCGGGTCAGCTTGTAGAAGGTTTTAAACGAATTCCTGCGGCGTGTTCCACCAGCTCGCTTAAGTAGTCAGCACCTTTGCAGACAGCATCAGCAGGCGAGGCACTAGTCAGATTTTCATGAGGCATTATTGTTCACAGGCAAAATGGAAAGCATGCATTAATGTGCGAGTGAATTATGCACCGCTTGTATGCTGTTACGCATTGTGATAATGTGTGAGAGAAGCAACCTTGGAAAATGTCATGCAGCAAGGGCTCCTATTTTCAAGAGAGTTATTTTCTAGGGTCTGAAAATAAAATTGAAATCGAAGAGCATCCTACATGTATGAAAACAATGCATATCAAGTGCCAATGTGCTCACGCGAAAAAAAGGGTTTCAACGCCTCTTTCCCCAGGGTCTGCTCCTAAAACTTTCCCAGGGTCTGCTCCTACCTTCCTGCCATTCATAAGCGTAATCATGCATTATGCGAACCCTTAAATTCAAGCAGTTTTGTGATGGTCTAACCCCGATTCTGCGTGATGTCTTCAGGCGAAGTCGATAGTCATCAAAGTAGTTACAAAGTGGTCACATTGATCACGACGTCCCGAACCACCTTGCTTGAGCTGTATCTGGTGACATTTCGCTCACAATGTGGAGGTGGTCAATGATCATGGGATGACTTCAAGCGGTCATGGGATGACCCCAAAGGATCACGAGATGACCTCAAATGGCTCCGTTTGCTCCTTGGGCGTAAATTCTTTGAGAGCAAGTGGTTGGTTGGGAAAAGTTACGAAGGTCTTTTAATGCTACCTCGAGCGGTTTAGAAAGTGCAGCCGGCAAGTCTGGACGAGTTTGCCCTCTTGCATGATTATGATTGGCGTATCTCGCATGGCGGGACTGAAACGTCTTTGTCGGGGTTGATGTATGCCCCATTATCCTCGAGATGGAGCTGAGTGATTCTCTTTCTGATGCGTCTACAACCATCTTGAGACGCTTCCTGCGCGAAGTGGGGGGATGAAACACGGCCGGCATGGAATAAAATGACATATCGTGGACAAGCTTTCACAAATTCGTTAGGCATTGCGTTTTTTCTTCAACGCGGACCATTCACAGAACCGTTCCAGATCCGGCGTAAATCACTGAACTTGAGATATCAAATCTTTATGAATGATCTTGAACGAGTCTAGCAAGCGCGAAGCCTTTACGAATCAGGCTTTCATCATATCCACATTGATAGAATCATGCCCTTGATCACCACAGCCGTATACTGATGCTCCATCGTTGCGGACAATCCCATCCGTCCGGCCCGTCGACGCCGGACACTGAGCACGCGGCGGAGTCGGTCATACGGAGCCGGGGGGCGGGGTTCGGCGCGTGTCCGTCACGGTTCGGCGGCTCTCAAGGCCAGTGGGCCTGGGGTTGGACGGACAAGCTGCGTGGCGCTCTGTCACGCGGTTCCGGCCAATTGTGCGCCCGGTGAACCCGCCGCCAGCGCCGGAAGGCAATGATGGCGTTCGTGAAAACGAATGGCACAACAGGAAATCTTGCGTAATGTGCGTTGCTGATGGGCGCCCCTTTCCATCACTTTGTGCGAAATCTACGCATTCCGTGATAAGATGATCATTTTGACAGTCATGGGCGTAAAATGAACGATGTCGAAGCGTACGTAAATCCATATATGATAATAACATTTGCATTAGGGGGAATTACATCAGCAAAATCCACGTTCAGTACAAGTGAACAGCTTAACAACAATATCGAGTTTTGTGCCGCGTTATACAAGAGGTTAAATGCAGTGTATAAAAATACGATCATATAGATCAGGGGCCGATTCTAAACGCCTGCTTGGAGTGAGGAAAAGGTAAAAATCCCAAAAGTTGTTCTGATGTTACAACATTTTGGGGGCTCAAAACTCAGAAAGCTGTTGTATTTTTGCACAGCCTGGGCCATCTTGGGACGGGGGCATAGCCCGGCTGGGCCAGGGCGGGTCCCCTTGGATCCGCCCTTCACGCGGATGATGAAACGCTAACAACTAGAGCTAGCCACCTTCGGAACGCCACAAACAGATCCTAGCAATCCACCGGAAAATAGCTGGTGCACGCACCACAAAACGGATTGCTTGAAATGATCACTGGGTTTGGGCCTGACCCCAGGCCCTTCGATCTTCCTCGCTACCTGCACCGTTCCAGTCAACAAACTGAATACAATGATCAGCGCGATTGGCTAACGTGGCCAGCATGCTTCCAAAGACCGAATTCCTGTATATCGAGGTGGTTGATTTTGGTTACAGCGATCCGGCTATCACTTTTGTGGTGTTGACGACCCAATATGTTTCGATTCAAGGTGAGTTGTCGTGTTTCTGCAATACCTGCCTGCGGAATTTGAGTCCGATCTCGACCGGGGGGTGAGCATTCTTGCAATTCTGATTCCCGTCCCAAACCAGGGATATATTTCTGTTGATATGACACTGTTGAGGAAAAAGCTAAAAGCTACCTTGCATGTAAATGTATCGGAAATTTTGCTGCGCAACTTTGAAAGAATTGTGCCTTAGTGAAAACTGTGTGGTGGGATAACTACAGGTTCCAATGATAAAAGCACGCAAAAAACGTGACTGGTCGGAATGGGGTGGGACCGTAGAAGATGCAAGATTTCTGGCTTGCTTCTTGAAAGCTCAACCTATGGTATAGTTAAGAAAAGCTGCATTACCTAGGCGCCGATGCACACTTGCAGCAGGTATCTGGGACAAATCAGACTGTGGTTGTCACGTTGGCGGATGTCGGTCTCTTTTTACCCCAATAGCCCTGCGGATTCTATGGAGGTGGAGAGAGCAGTTTAGATTGCCTTGGTACACTACGACAAGTAGTCAGACATGCATAATGCATGCACTTATATATATTGACATCATATATTTCTAAATTTGTCGCCAATCTAAACAATAAACATTCGAATGCACGGTTCGAGTCCTGTTCTACGTCTTCGAACTTGTCTTCGCTCTCTCCTAGATCTCACTGTCATAAATTCTTCCCTTATTATTAGTGACAGACTGTATGCACATAAAGGAGACGAAGGGATTGGATTTCCGCTGAGACCCACTTCTGTCAATATTGCTGTGTGCTTTCACGTAAAGCACTAGCTATCCAACTGCCTCTCCAGACTTCCGACTAGTTTTCTATCGACGTTATATTGACAGCTTTGTTGTTTTGACGGAGGTCCCATATTGATCAGTTCCTCACATATCTTAAGGTCCAACCTTCTGACACAAAGCTCACGAAGGAAGAGGGTGAAATTGGCTTTTTCCCTTCTTTGATGTGCGGGCTCAAAACCCATAAGGCAAATTTGAAGCCTCTGTTTATAAAACCCACGTTCATTGGTGTCGGATTGAGCTGTGGTATGAAAACGGCTACTTGCAAGCCTCTCTATTAAAGTTCCAACTTGAAGCTTCTTTTGTTCCGAACATGCCGTCTCAGATCATCCCTCCGTGGACAGGCCCCACAACTTTCAGTCGCTAACCGTTTGTTAAAGAGCTCCTTGGAAGCAAGATACTTAAAGGCTCCGCTGTTAATTAAGTTCCGCGCTTAAACGTAGTCTTTCTCCCTCATTGTGCATGTAATGTATTGATAATGATACACGAGCATATCCGAACGTTGACCGATTGAGAGGGAAATGCTCATTTGATGGAAAAAGCTCATTTGTACCTATCGGTATGATTTTAAGTGTGGAATACCACGCTAGATCACATAGTATCACCATGTAGCAAATACGCTTTTGGATATGACATCAATTGATTGCGTCGTGGAACGTCTCTATTCAGCCAAATTCGCTGCCGGACAGAACCTGTCAGAATTGCGACTGTAGCGGTCGGACTGACTCACTTGTAATCCTTCAACTTGCCGCAAGATGGCTTGCTGACTTATCGTGTGAAAAAACGAACATCGTCACGTGTGTTTTTTTCCATTCTCGTGACATTCTTTTTCACTTATGGCACGCATTTTATTCGCATTTTCATCCTCGGTTACGGCGCTTTTCTCAAGTTATTTGATTTCCAGCCTGATGTCTGTCACAACTCGTAGAACTGCCCAAATACCTGCATTATGCATCACAAAACGTGGTTTATGATCAATACTCGCATTTCACGAGTTATGCTGGTCGAAACCCAACTGATGCTCGCTGAGGCGGCAGTTAGTGCTGACGTTATTCAGACTTTAATATGTCAATGGTCATATTTTGCTTGACCTAAAACAATATAAAAAAAACACCCAAAGCTAACACAGTATGACCATTGAAAGGCGTCATTTTGTGACGTTTCATCTGTGATCTTTCATCATCAATCTTTGACACCGTGCATCTCTAGGTGACTTTTAAATTAAGCGGCGCGAAACAGTCGGTACAAGTTCACTTGCGCATATTCCGGAAACAGGATTTCAAGCTTTAAGGACATAATTGTGAAATACAAGGACTTATCTTGGAAGCATCTTTCTCAGATATAAATCCATACAAATGTGGAACAGTCCCTTTAATCCCGCGAGGCCCCTATTTGCCAACCGCCGGGACCATTGTCATTTAATTCAGACGTCTACACAAGGCCTATAAATTACAGTCATTGCGCCCATTTGCCGCTACATCGCGCCGCTCTGCCTACGCACGAAAATGTCCAGCCTTTTACCTTAGATAGTAGATGCCTAATCCCTTGCCACGGATATTCAACCCCTTATCTCGGGGCTACCTTCGCCTTCTCTTGATGGCTTTCCGTCTAAAGTACTTGCGATAGTTGTCTTCCAAAGCGATAATGCACAAATGCGCCCCTTTGACTGAGTTTGACCCGACCCCTGACATGGACTCGGAGCTGTCGGTATGTATGACTGGAGTGCTTACTCCTTATTAGCGCGCTCCTGGATCGCTCTGCTCCGCTTCTCTCCTCCGCTCCCGGCTCTACCCTGATCCGTGTTTTACTCTGCTCCCTCCCCGACTCTGCTTTTATAGCTGGGACCACTTTTTACCGGGCAGAGGAGACACCTCTCTAGCTGACGTTTAATTATCAGGTGAATCATAGTTACATTTGTTGTTTAAGGCGCGAATTTTGTTTTTTCAACATCGTTGAATTGTTCTTTGGGTACCACGGAAACCCCTTTAGCCTCGAGACCGTCGCCGGCGTCAGCTTTCTCTGCCTACCACAGCACAGCCACAACCCATGAACAGTCCGTACGATTCTTTATGTAACGGCACCGTCCAACTGACGCCGTGCGCTGATTGGCCGAGCCGGCGGGCCAGCCAGCTGACTGCGCTGCCGGAGCGCGTCGCTCGGCCCGTGGCTGACACGCGCAGTCCCGCACGCAGTCCCCGTACACCAGGCAGCCTGGCAGCAGGCAAAGCCCTGCGCACGCGCAGCGCGATGGAGGGTGTCACCAACAAGTTGGACGTGCTCGCCGACGAGGCGGTCGTCAACGGCAGCGACAAGGCCCTGGCCAAGCGGAATGGCCCGGAGGCAGTGAGCAACGGCACGGGCCCGACGAGGCAGGACGGCGCCGAGTCGGGCGAGGACCCGCCCTCTGGCTGCGGCGGGCTCGGCTTCTATCCGGCCGGCCTTCAGCGCTTGGCCAGCCGGCACGTCTTCATCATCTTCTTCTGCCTTAAGAACGTGTTCCAGGCCATGGTGTTCACCTACCTGGTGGGCGTGCAGACGTCGCTCGAGCGGCACTTCCACTTCAGCAGCAAGCAGACCGGCCTGTTGCCGTCGCTCGGCGAGTTGGGGCCTCTCCTGAGCGCCGTCCTCCTCAGCTACCTCGCCAGCCACGGCAACCGACCGCGCTGGATGGGCATCGGCATGTTCATGGTGACGATCGGCATGCTGGTCGGCTTCGCCTCCTACCTCGTCTTCCCCTACCCAGAGATCCGCGACAACACAGTGGCGAGTCGGCGGCTGTGCAGGCAGCCGGCGCTGGCACTGCTCCCGCCCGGCCAGCCGGGTCAGCTGTATGGCACGGCTGCGAACGCCACGGCCGGGGGAGCCGAGTGCACCATCGACGTCAGCAGCAGCAACGCCGCCTACTTCCTCTGGGCACTCGTCTACGTCCTGGTCGGTGAGTCGCACTGGCGGATCCGGGGATCGGTGGACGTGGCCAACCTGTGCCAGTGAAACAAGAACTTTTAGTTTAAAGCAACATCCGCAGGGATTCAGTGAATTAGAGCCGCCCTTAGTGGTGCCTTGAGATTGTATAGTGGCAAATAGTTTCAGAGAGCCTGTAGGCTCAAATTTCAGATGCATCTAAAATCGTCTCACATCTCATCAAGTAGACCACGCATTCAAAATTATATTGAACATTATTTACCTCATGATAGCCGCTGTAAACCGTCCGATAGTATGGCACTACGTGCACCAATGTAAACGGCACAATACCATGGAAGCTGCTGGGTCCCACGGAGAGAGCCAGGCTGTGTTTCCCAGCTCAGGTGGAGTACGGGGCTCTGACGACGCTCACCGACTTTCACGGTAACAAACTGACTACTGCCTGGCAACAGTAGCGCCGAGCCGAGCGCGCGTTCTTCGCGCGACGGCTGTGGAAGCCTGCTGGCTCGTTCTATTAGCTGTGCCGTCTCCATTGGGCCCGAATTAGCATAGCACCGGGTCTCGTCTCTCGTAACGCCGGCGTTCCGAGTACCCGAAGGTCAATCCCTCCACACGTTTCAAGGCCGGGGCTTCATCGTTACGGCCTGTGGATGCGGTGTTGTGCACCTACGGCCTGCGACCCGGCCCTGCGGGACTGAAGCGCAGTGATAAGGCAAGGAGGCATAAGCAAACCACAGCGCAGGCAGGCTTGCGCTAACGAAGCAAAGGGCTTTGGGCTGACTCGGTAAGACAACAGCTCAGCACGCGGGTAGACCGCGACACCGCCAGCCCGCGACACAACCTTGTCCAGATGTTGCCAGGCTGTACCACAACAGTGCCGCCAGCGCAGCCAGGCCGCAGTGTGGGCAGGCTGAGGCACAACCGAGCAACTATAACGCCGCCGATTGGCTCAGTCAAACCCTTCAAGTACATTGCCAGTCCGCTTTGACACCGGTTGTCAGTGGTTCAAGCCGTTGGGAAAAGTTCAAACCGTCTTGTTCTCTGATGAGAACAAACTACTGCGCGATCTAACCAACGCTGTTTCTTTTGCTCCTTCCCACGTCCTGCGATCGGCGGAGTAGGCGACCATGTCTCGGAGGTCCATCCCGCGCCGCGGTGCGCTGACACGGGAGGCACGGCCGCGGGCGCAGCTTAGCCCGCCGTGGACATAGTGGACTGCCGGATCATGCTGACTGGCCATAACCGGTGCACAGCGGACTGCTATTTCACGCTGAGTGACCACAGTGAGCTCGACGCCTCAGGGCCGTCACGGCACACTTTTCACAGCCCCGGCCGGCGACGCTATGTGTGTGTGTGTGTGTGCAGAGCGATCGATGGAGGGTCACCAGCCATGCCAGTGACCGAGAGAGAGATCGGCGACGGCGAAAGCGGCGCCAAGACCGGTGTGAACAGTCGGCTGGGGTCCAGGACCGGCGTAGAGGGTCAAACACTGAACACGATCCCTGAAGATGTCCCTGGGTCAGCACCCGAAGCCTGAACTTGACCCTGCTTAGCCTGGACTCGATCTCTGGATACAGATGCGAGATCTTGGCATCAGAATTGGACCCCGAAGCCGGAATGCCGCGCCCCGGATCCCGGGCCATTCGATTTCGCTGAATGTCGACCTGATGTCTGGCATTTCGCGGCGTTTCAAACCTGGACCTGAGGCGAAAACCTCGCACCCCGCCGATGTTCTCACTATGGCCCAACGGTTCTGCGCCGTGGGCCTCAGAGGACATTCCGACCTCAGTCCGATCTGAGGTCGGAACTTTTGAAAGCTCACAACAAACTCGTAAGCTTGTACACTCGCAACGGTAGCGCATCTGCTGGTCAGTGCGGTTCCCACACTAGCAGCAACAAAATTACATAGCGAAAACAAAACGCACGGTAATGCGCCCCCGTCATACTTGTGCGGAATTTTGCGCTGCAGCTCCCGTTGCGACCCGTGGTAATCTGTAATATCTGAGGCATTCGAAAAGTGAACCCCAGCCAAGAACCCCATCTCCGCATACACTGACGCTAGCACCCGATCCCGACCGCCGGCCAGACCCCGTACCTCGGACTGCACGCTCGAGCCGTGCCAGTTCTGGGCGCCGGTACGTGCCTGGTTCTACACCCGCGGCCGGATGCATGGGTCACCTCACCTGTGTCCGGATCGCGCTCATGTCGCGTATCCTGTAACCGGGGAAGGAAGGGGGGGGGGGGTTCGTGCCGCGCAGCAAGGTCGCCAGCCGAGCCGCTGCGCTGGGAGGCTCCGCAGCCCCCTTTGACCTCGGTCGCCCGTTAGCACCGTGCCAATACCTGACAGGTGTTTCGATTATGCAGATATCGATCCTGGCTGCCTCCGAACAGCTGGCGAACGGGAATATGATGTCTTGGGGTGGCAATACTGTATTGGTTAACGCGTTGTGTTAACCACTGCGCGTCTGGGAAGCCAGAAGTACGGGGCTCGACTGGCGCATCGCCCGCTTTTCCTGTCAGGGTGAGAGGCAGGCGACGCCATGTAACCCCAGCAGCTGAGTGCGTCGTAAAGCCCTAATAGCGACGAAATATGATATCATGATTACGGTTGGAATTACACACCCTACCATTTATTCCTCTTAAAGCGCCTCGCACAATAATGTTAAAGATTAACAATGTCGATGCTTTTAAGCCTCGTCCGAACACATGCCGAATGCATGGCAGGTGTGATGCGTAGGGGAATGTGGTCGTGACGTAAGAAGGGATAGCGTACACAACCGTGTCTGCAACTGAATTAACGGGTAATCAGCGGCGGCACCCCGCCTGCACCATGACTCCTGAGATTTAATTAGGCCTCTGCAGTCGCTGGCGCCCCAAAAACAGTGTGCGACAACGTGCGAGGGGTTCCCTAAAAAGCCGATTTACTTGCAAGGTCAGAATTTTAGGCACCTCTTCAGTCTTTAAGACCTAAGGTAACTTATTTTCAAAGATTGGACAAAGCGTGCGGATGTTTTTCTTTTCAGACTGGCTCAAAAAGCGATTGTTGATTTTAGAATTCACACCTTTTGTATGTGCTGTGCCAAAATTTGGGGTGCGTTGTAAGGACAAGGGTGGTTGCAGGGCTTGAAAAAGACGAGTTTCCACACAGCGAGAGGAGCATTACGGATTGTCAATGCAGGCGTAAAAGGTACATTTTTCGACACATAGATGCAAAGCTTTACATTGTCTGCCACTTTGTCACAACCCACTGATATATTCAGTGGTAAAGGCATATTCAGGTAGAGTGAAAAGTGTGTGTAGAGGGGCATAACGTCCAACCTATTTATAATTCACACTGTATTTGCTTATTCATCCACTAAGCAAGTGGCTATTCTCGCACCCGTCCCAATGCATTTAGCAAGTAGGAATTGGTGTCGTGTGGGCTAAGCTGGACAAGAGCACGTTAAGAACATGATGGTTTTTACAGCAGGATGACCAGTTTAGCACCAAATTTTGGGGAGTTTTGCTGTGCAGTTCTTTTCTGTTGTCTTCGTCACGCTGATCACGAATATGATGTTATGATGTTGATTTCAATTTTTATTGCGGCGCTCTGCCCAGTTAAGCATTTACTTACCATGCTGTATATTTCACAAGCATTGCTTCAAATTAGAGGTCCGATTTTTATCTTACCATTTCGCTACTCACCATCTTAGATATCTCACTCTCACCTTGTATGTGGGTTCATGAATTCTCCAGCCTAGTTTACATGGGATATATATATATATATATATATATATATATATATATATATATTCGTAATAATATGATATATTGATAATATGCTATTCTGTGATAAGATAACATCTTACAAATAATGTTAGATTTTGCATTATCATATTATATTGATATGATAACACTGTTTTATCATATTTTTTGAAAATATATATTTATTGATAACATGTGCATCGGCACGAAATTAATACATTAGGTGATTACATGGCTGATTGCCATGGCGACTGATGTATTTAACATGAAGGTGCCGTTGAGGTGAGACGTTGAGGCAACGTAGTGGTCGGCAAGTTCATCCCCGTCGACTGTAGTATTAATTTTTCTGCGAAATAAACCGGGAGGTAAACACGGATTTTACACTCTTGTAAGTCTGAAATAGAAACGCCAAATTTTCGAAGGAATTTCGTCGCAGGGAGTCGTTAGATGCGCGATGTGACGGTATTCAGTGATATCTGATTACTAGCCACATATTTGACTCTCGCCTGTTGGGTGAGACAATTAATTCCCCTCCTAATTTGCATGGGAACTGATGTACTTCAGCTTAAGTTAACTGGCGCCAAAAAGTACCATCTCTGGCAATGAATAAACCACATACCGATCGTGCTGCGTAAGGCACGAAATAGTCGCCAGTTGCCAGCAGACTTTTATTTTTCTTTGTCAGTCGGACAAAACTCCAACTGACCAACACGGCCGCACGTGCCAGGCTGGTCACGTTTGTCTGTTCGCCAGCAGACCTTTGTTGACAGCCGGACAAAAACGCGCGCTCGCTCCGCGGATCGTACCCGCCACAGCGCATTGGTATTCCAGCACCACTCCACACCCTCACGTAGAATGCGCGCACCTTGTGCGTAGGAATGGTCCTGCGTTGTGCCTCTAATCCCGCTCCCAGGGTAGACTCGCATGCACAAGCAAGTTGGAGCGGCCGATAGCCCTTTACTCATTTCAGTGATGCTCTGTATACCGACCACGTTTTACTTTGCTCAATGCAGGCTGGGCACATGTCTCAAACATTCCTTACCATGGAGTTGAAAATATCCGCCCGTTGGCATGCACTCCAAACAATCCTTTCTTGGGTTGTACAAGGTGATGGTTGGCTAGTACCTATCTCTCGTCGGAGACGCAGACAGTTGCCGGATCTTCATATCCAGCGATATGAAAAGTTACCATATATCTGTCCTTCGTTTTTGCTGGCCCACTGTTCCCACATTTCCTCTGACACGGCACATTTTCTACGCCATTATATCC